TTTTATCTTTATTAAATTCTTGAAAACTTCACAGACAGTTTTTAACTACTTTCCCTGAGCATTATAATAATACTTTTGTAATAAAGACAATTCAAGTAGATCAGACTTAAAGAAAATATAACCTAGGCAAGCCTGGTATTCTTTTTTCTATTAACTCTGAATCTTTCAGCATTATCCTCTATAACTTCACAGGAGCAAGAGACTAAATTTTAATCTGCTCCTAGAATTGGCTCAATTCTTCTCCTGTTTCCACTAAACTCGTTACCTTTCTTCCAGCCTTTAAACTGTTTACACAAACCTTCCATTTCTTTCCACAGTTGATTGGTTTTGTATCTTTAAGAGGGAGTTTCATTTATTTCTATGCTAATTAGTTTTTAAAAAGACCTATTAAAATTTTTTTCCTGGACAAAACAGAAACAAAAACTAATGCAGTTTTTAGTGTAAAAACGTTCTATCTTTTTGTGTCTACCTTTTTCCACTTCAACAGTTACCTGAGTGATGGTTCTTGTTTTACTTTATTCCTCCTTGAGAGCTTTGTGCTACTCATTTCCAGGAGGTCGAGTCTATAAACCATGTTTTATTCCCCTGGTTCTCTCCAACTGAAGTATTTTTTTCCAAACTGCCATTATTGTTGACTCTTTCAGAAACTGTTTTAAAAAGAGCTCATATTTCTTCCTACTGAATTTTTAAAACAAAGATTTTGAGCTTGAGTTAAATTGATGATGATGGGGATGGGATGGAAGGGACTGTAGAATCCATTTGGACCAGTTCATTCACCTTACCCACCAGGAACCTGGCCTGCAGAGAGCTTGGGGGATTTGTGGAGAGCTTGTAGAAATTGAGAGCCTTGGTCACAAGCCACACTTTCTGTGTTTGTGGACTAGCACCTTATGTGACTTCCCACGGTGGTCTTCTGGTTAGTGGGGTACCAAGAGGCTGGTCTTCACAGCTCTCCCTGAACAGAGGCTGTGAGGTGTCACTGGAGCCAGCCCACCCAGGATACTGGCTTAGGAACAGGAAGGGTCCCAAGGTTATCACTGAGGTACCACAGAGGAGCTTTTTCTCTCCGGTAACATCTCCTGTGCTCCAGTGATGCCTTATGAAATATGGAATTGAAATTATTTTTTTGGTAATAAAGAGGCAGTGCTGATATGAATGTACCTGTTTTATATCCCGCAATGTTCTTTTTTAACACATATTCATTAGCATGATTAATTAGAAGACAACCAGGTGGAATGAATTCTAATATTTGCAGTGACAGTTTAATATTTGATGAAGAGAGAAAAGTATTCCACATTTGAAATATTTATAGGAAAATAGTGGCTAATTCTACAGACAGAATAAATTATTGAATATAATACTACTTATTATACCTATGTTGTCAGATGTCTCCAAAATGATTTCTACATCATGTGTCTGTTTCCAACTCATTATCTTTTCTCTAAATGCCTAGGGTGTAAGAAGTTTGAAATGTTCCTATTTCGAGCCTCGATATATCTTGGTGATACCCATGAATAAGGAAAAATATGAGGGATACTTACGGAGAAAAGGATTATTCAGTCGTGCAGAAATTGAATTTGCTGTCTCCAGAGTGGACCTTTATATTAAAATTAATCAGAAATTTCCAGGTTATTTTGATGCAGTAATCAATGCAGGTCAGTAACTCTTAGCAGAGTTTTACTTTTGATATATGGGGTCGCTGGAAAAGTTTATTTCATGGAAATAAAATGCCCAGGGGAAAATATTGTTGTAACAGTCAATTACAAAGGGCTACAAAAGGGGTAGCAATGCACAAGATCTAGTCTTCTAGTTTTAATCAGAATATTATCTTCATTATTCTGAAAGATCTTAACTAATAAGACTTAGAATAAAATGGGCCAAGAATAGATTCTTTCATTAAGGATATGGCAAGAACAGTTACATGATATATAATTTGAAATAGATGTTTAAATTTTTAGGAAGACATGAAACTCAAGCAGTTTTTATCATAATCTACTATAGTTAAAAGCTGAATTAATACAGGGCCAGCCAGATAGCTCAGTGGATTAAAGTGCCTGCTTAGGCAGACACAGAAGCTGGGGGTTCAATTCTCTGGTGTACCATGCAGCCCCCCTCCCCCCCGGGACTCACTGAGATGGCTTTTGAGAATGGGCATGGTGGCACATACCTGTAATCCCAGCACTTGGGAGGTTGAAAACAGGAGGATCATTACGAGTCTGATCTGTGTAATGAGACCTTGTAGACCCTGTACTAAATACATAAAAACACTGAATTAATGCAAATATGACCACAAAAATACCCATGTGAAACAAACATTTTAAAAACCTAACTTAGAAATGGCTACTTGCAGCAGTAGTCACTGGTAGAATTTCTTGGAATATAGAAACTTCTACATATTTTAAAACTGTATGATATTTTTTACCTATTAAAAAGAAAGAGAAAGCATTGTATCTAGTATATATATATAAAAATCTAGATATGCAACCATAGGTATAGTATGCTATCATTTATGTAAAATATATTACTGTATTTATAAGTATACTTATACTTCTATAGGAAGATATTACTGAAAGAAGTCTCAAAAATTACTGATTACCTCTTTTAGATAGGAGACTGGAGGGGAGGGGAACATTAAATGGAATCATATAAAATTGCTGATAGTCAATTTTTTTGATCTATAAAAATTTTATATAGCTCAATTTAATAATTTTTGACCTTTAAAACTTGTTGGAATATTACATATTCAGACTGGATTTTTATTGTTGTATAGAAACAATCACACTTAGTGGCTTAAAATAATACTCATTTGTTAGGACACAGTTCCCAGGTAAGAGTTGGGCACAGTGTGGTGGGCGCTCTGCTCAGGGTATCAGGAGGCAGTGATGATGGCGTCAGTGGGGCTGAGTCCTTTGCTGACGGTTCTGGGAAAATAACTGCTCCAGAGTTAGTCTTGCAGAACAACAGTTTCTTGTCATTGTAGGAACAAGGGCCCCGTTTCCTTGCTGCCCGTCTTCCAGAGGTTGCCTTTAGTCCATAGAGGCCACTCCCCAGGTCTTTTTTGCATGGTGCTTGCCATCTTCCAGCCATCCTCACAGCACATCCAGTCCTCCTTGTGCTTGGAGTCTCTGACAATGCCTGGAGAAAAGCCTCTCCTTTATGGGGCTTATGTGATTAGAGTGGACCCTCCCAGATAATCTCTGTGTTAACTGACTCAGACTCATTAGGAACCATATTTGTGTCTGCAGAAATCCCATACAGTGTAGCCTAGTCATGGCAGTGACATCTCATTAGTTTCACAGCTTGTACCCACATTTAAGGGTAGAAGATCGTGCAAACATGAAATGACATCTGAGTGATCTTAATTTCCTCAACCCAGTATTCATAAAATTAAAAATAGTGGCTAAATCAGTACTACCAGCAGTTGAGCAGGGAGTAAATTTTGACCTGATCCCATTGTATGAAAGTAAATCTCTCATTTACTGTAGATGATCTGGATGTGGCCTACCAAAAGCTGAGTCAGCTCATTCGGGAATACCTGGGATTGGTTGAGGAACCTGCCAAGGGTCTGGCTCCAACTGTAGGTATGATATCATCTCCTTTGTGTTGGGATTATTTTCCATGGGAAAAGAATGGTAATCTGTGAGTTATTATTTAAGTACTTGTCAGCCAGGTTAGAGTTAGTTCTAACTCTTTAATGTCTGTTCTTAGGAAGTGATTGTTTCAACAAGCAAACCATATGAATCAGCCTTGTAGATGTGTCCATGACTCTGCTTGTCTTCATAGCTATATTGGCATTCAGAGACACGCAGATCAGTCCCTTGGATGGGTGCAGTAGACAGCATTAGGCTCATAGTTTAGAATTTAGCCTTCTGGAAACTTATTCCCTTATAGGGAAAGGAGTGGTTCTATTCACCAGGTTTACATTTAGTCCAGCAGTCTTCTTTCCCCTTTTCTTTGAATTACCCATTCCTCAAGCTGTTCACTGCAGGATGTAGTGGAAAATGTACTGGCCACATAACCCTGGCGCTGGCCCTCATGTTCCTTTGGGCAGATTCCTTATCTGGTCTAACTTTCAGGTTTTCGGGCCTGCTAAATGGACTTGTGGCTGCTCCCTCCCCCACCTCATGGATCAGAGCAGCAAATGATGTAGGATATAAAAGCACATCCCATTGGAATATAGGATTTCTAGGCTTAGAATTTTTGTACACAAGTATTTTTTTTAATGATTTTTTTTATTAGTACATGTTTGTAGTACACAGTGACTACATTTAGCATGGGGAGTTTATGCATATATGTAACACACAAGGTTTTTTTTTTATTCCTTTCCCCTTTAAAAGGAATTTGCCTGCTTTGCATTATCTATCTTTTATTTTGCTCTTTATTTATATTTTGGGTTTCTCATATGAGAGAAACCGTGTGATATTTAAACTTGTTCGTCTGATTTATTTCATTTAGCATTACAGCTTTCAGGTGCATTCAAGGCATAGTAGTATTCAATTGTATAGATGTGCTTCATTTTATTTATCCAATTATTCATTGATGGACATATAGGCTGTTTCCAAGATTTAACTATTACAAATTATGCTGCTGTTACACTGATACTTATTTTTACTTCCAGCAGTGTTGGTTTTATGAAGTTGGGTGCACCCTTGTTTAGTGCACATATATTTATAATTATCTCTTCCTGTTAATGGTACCCTTAACCAATATGTGGTGACCTTTATCTCTTCTGATCAGTTTTGGCTTAAAGCCCAGTTTGTCAAAAAATAGGAGAGCTATTCTTGCTTATTTTCAGGTTCCTGTTGCATTAGAATATTGTTTTCCAACCTTTAACTTTCAGCCTATAAATTTATTTTTGGGTTAAGTGTGGTACTTTTTCTTATATATTTAGTACAGGATCTATAAGGTCTCATTATGTAGATTGAACTCAGTGATTCTCCTGTTTTCAGCCTCCCAAGCGCTAGAATTACAGGCACATGCCACCATGCCCAGTCTCAGTCGCCGTCTCAGTGTGCCCTGGGGACGGGGCTGGCCACTGAGCTCTGCCTAAGCAGACGCTTTAGTCTGCTGAGCTATCTGGCTGGCACCGTATGGTTCTTATATACAGGATATTTTTGGAACTTGTTCCTTACTCCATTATGATAATCTGCATACACAAGTGTTTTTAAGATGTATTTAAAAGGTTTCCCAAAATTTACCTCCTATTTATTAGGATGGGTGCTATAGAAAGGTATAACAAAACAAAACAAAACAAAATAGCAAGCATCAATTAGGATATGCACTGTTTGGGGGGAATGTAAAATGGTGTAGCTGCTTTGGAAAATAGTATGGTACTTCCTGAAAAGTTTAAAAATGAAGCCACATATGACCTAGCATTTTCACTCTGGACACATACCAAAGGAACTGAAAGTGAGATCTTGAAGAAGTAGTTACATCCCTGTATTCATAGCAGCATTATTTATGTTAGCCAAAGAATAATGTGTGCAATCAAGTGTCCATTGACAGATGAATGGTTAAGACAAATAACATCCCACTTAATAACAATGGAATGTTATTCAATATTAAAAATAAATTCTGACATGTGCTACAACTTGGATGGAATATAAAGATATCTGAAGTTAAGCTAGTCAAAAAAAAAAAAAGGCAAAGTACTTTGTGATTCCACATCGGTGATGTATTTCACATAATCAAATTCATAGAGATAGAAAGAAGGGTGTAGTGGCAAGGGTGAGAGAAAGGAAGGTTATTGCTTCCTGGGTACAGAGTTTCAGTTTGGGAAAATGAAAAGATCTCTGGAGATGTTGATGGTGATGGTTGTACAACAGTGTGAATGTACTTACTCTACTGATCTGCACACTTAAAAAACAGATAATAGATATGTGTCTGTATTTTACTACAGTAAGAATTGCTTTTTAAAAAAATCCACTCAGTGCACTGAAATCCATTCACAGTTTGCAAAATGAGACCACTAGACTCTTGCTGCTTTGTATATGCCATGCAGCTTTGTTTTTTTTTGTGATGGCTCAAATATGACTGTTTTTACTCAGTTTCATTAAGGAAAATTGAAATAGGCCAGCTCATAATTTTTCTAGAGTTTAAGAAAACTGTGCCATTTTGCAAGTTTTTGCTCATTTTTTTTCAGGTCAATTGCCCTTAGTGTTTTGGAATGAGGTCAGTGTGAAACTGGTTTAAAAAAAAACCAACAGAAAATGGCCCTGAATTTCTTTTTCTGTGTGTTTCATAGAGATTAAGTGACCAGGGTATGATTTGCCAATTGGAAAGTATCTGTAGAAAGTTTGACCTGTCTAAAAATGGGTATTAATGGAGGAGGGGAAGGTTGTGCTCCATCTGTAAAGTGGGGCAGCCTCCAATTATGGACATAATCAGTGTATCTGTGCAGCCCTGCTCTGGTTCTCTGTATCAAGCACCAGTTCGTTACAAAGCTGTGGCTGCTAAGTAGAATAGTGCAGTGTACTTAATGAGGGTTTCATGGTTGCATCGAACTTTCTCTTGAGGAAATCTGGCTCCCACTGCTTTAAATCTTTGTTATCCAAGCAACTTTCTGATCCTTAATTTGTTCCTCTGGGTGGCCCTGCCCCTGTGGGAACTATACCTTACGTTAGAACACCCTACCCTGCTCCCTGAGCCTGATCAACCTCCCATTGTAAATCAATAAATTGGCATGCTGGTTTATGTCAGCCTCCTGTGGTTTTGAATAAACATGAGCCAGTCCCCAAAGCTCAGCCGGTGTGAGGAGCTAAGAATGTGCATTTTCTGTATGGATGCCTCTATGCAGAAAGGCATGAACAAGACTTAGCTTTAACAGCTAGCCGGAACTCCATCTCTCTATTCTCTATCTTTTTTTATTCTATAGGAATATTGATGACTGGATGCTGTTGTCATTTGCAAATTAATAGACAAGATAATATGTGGATAGGAAAATATACTCCCATTTTTTTTTTTTTTTGGAACCAGGGATTGAACTCAGGCCCTTGCACTTGCCAGAGAAGTGCTTATTCCACTGAGCCATCTCCCTGGCCCCTTATACTCCCATTTTTAAAACAGTTAATAAAATTTTATTCATATGGGCTAATCAGATTAGGACTGTTTGATTTAATGAAAGATATGAATTTTAGGGGCTGGGGAGATGACTCAGTGGAATAAGCGCTTACTGTGCAAGTGCAAGGGCCTGAGTTCAATCCCCAGTTCTGCAAAAAAAAAAAGGAAACTAAAGGGGAAAGATAAGAATTTTAGAATTTATAAAATTTATAACTCTCAGATACATGTACCGACTGAACCTGAACTATCTAGTTATTGACTAATGGAATTCCAGCTTGAAAAGTAGATGGGGAGCATTGCAACTAATACATCCAATCACTAGCTTCAGTAGACCTTTGCTGTCTTGGCAGGCTTGATATTTTGGGAAATAACATGTTTTCTTAAGCTGAACACTTTATCTTTA